AAGTGTCTTGCCAAATGACACAATAACAGTATGCAGTGAGGGGATTAAACTAATACTGTTGCTGTCCAATAAAAGAAGTATTTACTGCCAATCCCATTTCCTTCATATCCACTACTTGAGAACAGACTGGAACATGTATTCCCCTATTAGTATAAAGTACAAGATTAATGGAGGGACAAGCTCACAACAAAAAATACAAGCAAAAGTAATGTCTTGCAAAGTCATTATTATACTTGTTATTACCATGCTGGTGATGGGGAGTGTCTTGCCAAATGACACAATGCTGTTAGCAGAGACTGAGCACTACTGTCTCCCAAATATACAAGGCAATTGCCAATCCATGCACATTCAGTATTTGCCTAGAGATTTAATAGTCTCCCAAGAGTCTAACAACGCATTTTTAAGGTTCAAGTGCAATAAAAATACAAGCAAAGGAATGTCAGGCGCAATTGTACAGAGAGATGGGTAGAAGTGTCTTGCCAAATGACACAATGCCAGTATTCAATGCAGTTAGCACGGACCGAAGCAATACAGCTGCCTCCCACAGCATCTACAGAACAACTGCCAACCCTGCATATTCAATACTTGTGTACAGATTTGGAATAATCTCCCAAGAGAGTCTAATAATAAGGCGGTTTCATGATGATACAAGGAGATGAACAGAAGTGTCTCGCCAAAATACACAACAGCAATGTACAATGCAGTTGTATGTCCTGTCAATCATCATACCATTGTTGCACTGTCTTCCTATGACCTCTTGTGTAAAGCTGTGATTTTATATTTTATTACTTATCTTTCTATTTTATTTTGACTTGTACATATACGTTTATATAATTATGTCTTATTTGACACCTGTCTCCTACTACATTTTTTCGTACTTACTTAGAATTTATTATTACCATTTATATTTTCGATCTTTGTTTTTATAATAAATTGTGATGTCTGAACTACGGTGTCCAAATAATTTCCCTTGTGGATCAATAAAGTTTGTCTAAGTCTAAGTCTAAAGCTAAATCTAAATCTAAGTTAGCAACGATTAAACATAGACTGTATAAAGAAGTGGACAATGGGAGTGTGACGTCACCCATAGCATTCATTTCCAGTCAAATGAAACTCAGCGAGGTTGGTAGCTGTGGGGCGAATTTGGAGTCAGTTCCATATTAGGAATAGGAATTGACTTACGGACAAAATAGCAAAATAAAAACAACAGGATCACATAGAGCCAGTTAATACAAACATTTTAAGGAGGAGCGAGCTTTACGTTACTACAGAGTGCTCATGCTCACTTCCTATTTGGACCGTGGCAGTTAGCGAGTTAGCTATGTCCATCTATATATACAGTCTATGGGACCACTGCGGCCTCCCTACAGGGCAACTGTCTATCCCTGCACATTCAACACAGATTTAGAATAGCCTACTTCTCCTTTATACTGCTCCTAAGAGTCTGATAATAAGCCAAGAGACCACAACAAAAACCCAAGAATAAAGGCTCATGATCACACAGGGAGATAAAGAGAAGTGTCTTGCCAAATGACACAACGCCATTATGCCAAGCAGTTAGCAGGGACTGAAGCGCTACTGCCTCCCGAAGTATCCACATGGGAACTCCAAATTCTTTCACATTCAGTGCTTGTGTAGAGATTTGGAACAGCCGACCTCTCCTTAATACTGCCTCTAAAATTCTAATAATAAGGCAAGAGACCACACCAAAAATCAAGAATAAAGACTCATGATCTTACAGAGATGGGTAGAAGTGTCTTGCCAAATGACACAACGCCAGTGTGTGATGCAGTTATAAGGGACTAAAGCACTAGTACATGGCAACTCCCAATCTTTTCACATTCCTAATAAGAGTCTAATAATAATGCAATTTTTCAAGCAAACTCATGATCATACAGGGAGATGAATAGAAGTGTCTTGCCAAATGACACAACACAATTAGGCCAAACAGTTAGCAGGGACTGAAGCGCTACTGCTTCCCGAAATATCCACAAGGGAACTCCAAATCCTTTCACATTCAGTACTTGTGTAGAGATTTGGAACAGCCGACCTCTCCTTAATGCTGCCTCTAAAATTCTAATAATAAGGCAAGAGACCACACCAAAAATCAAGAATAAAGGCTCATGATCTTACAGAGAGATGGGGAGAAGTGTCTTGCCAAATGACACAACGCCAGTGTGTGACGCAGTTAACAGGGACTGAAGCACTACTGCCCCCCAAAGTATCCACACGGCAACTCCCAGTCCTTTCACATTCAATACTTGTGTAGAGATTTGGAATACTTCTTCTGCTCCTGACGAGAGCTTGTATTGATCAGCTGTCCCGTTCACATCAGTAGCGCGCTCATTATCTGGCCTGGCTGCACTGCTCCTCTCTGGACAGACAGTGAGATTGATGCGGGGGATGCCTAAGCCCGGACTCAAGGCGCATTTTGTGATTTCCCATTGGCTCGTCCCCACTCTAAGAATAGCCCCCGGTGAAATTGAAATCCATGCCCCCAGTCTCGAAATCACTACATGACGAGCAAGGATCTAGCGTGTGCCACTGTAGGATGCAAACCACAAAATCCATTTCGGTTTCAACAACAACCGTCAAGGATAAAGCACTTTTTCAACTTAACTTGTGAAGGATCCTTCTATAATGCTTGAGAAGTCACCACTGATGAGACCTTGAGCAGATAAGTAATGCGTTCCTAACCAGATGCACACACAACACACAGCAGAGCCCATATTACACTATTTTCTGATCTATGTTATAATGTTGTTCCTTCATCACAAACACACCTCGAGCTGTGTTTTGTTTCATTCACACATATTTAACAAACACATCTGCATACTTGGGCTGAATTCTCAAACGTTGTGATATCTTGTGGTAATACAGGAAGTGCTCCACAGTGTTTTTAATTCCATGCCCCTTTTCCAGAATCATTTGGATGATTTAAGACTTGTAATTGCCAATCTCTACTAAACAAAAGGTGAAGGTAGCTGTTAACAACCACTACATGACATCACAAGGTGGAAGAGAGCATTTTGAGCTTTGGAGATATAAACAGACTATAATAAAGGGTAACTCAAACATGTGTGAATGAAACAAAACACAACTCCAGGTGTGTTTTTGATGAGGTAGCAGCATTATAACATGACTTAAATCTCACAGGAGTCAATTTTGCACAATATAGGGCCTTTAAATGTTCTATGGTTGACAATAACATAAGATTAAGAGGAAGTTTCCCTTTGTTTTAAATGTCAGGAGTGTTGATTTTATTCAGTGCAGCGATAACATAGGAGAAAGTATACTGGTGATGGAAGAAATAACAAGAAGTACTATTCAGAACTTAAAAAATGATATTGTTGTATGATTGTAACACTGTGTAATGTTTAACATATGACAAGCTAAGGGGGCATTTCCACTATTCAATAAGTAATAAACAAAAAAGTAAAAAAGTAACATATGGCAAAATGTACCTAGCTTTGCAGTTTAAGTTTTACAAATATATTTCATTTTTTAAATTATGTAATGTAACCCTTTCATATATTGCATTCTTAATAGTTATTTATCTATGGGTTTGATTCCAGCTGCTCTTGAACTTTGAGTTGCGACACTGTAAATTCCCCATTATGGGACAAATTAAAGTACTTATCTTTTCTTCTGACATATTATAATCATAAAATATTCAATTTATATGAAAATGATGTGGGGAAAATGAGAGATAAATTCAATCCATGCACCAAAAGGTCATATCTACTCTTGACCACCATGTGTAATCAGTACTTGTTATATTGTTATAATTATTAGGTAGCAGTTTTGTCTTGGCTTATAGACGGGGTTATGACAGACAGAATCCCTCCCTAAGCAAGGGTCTGTAGAATCTTTGACCCCCATTATAAGTTTTTCTTTCCCCTAATTGCAAATGTCAAATTCTTCTTAAAGTTCAGCTGATTTAATGTTGCACAGAAATGAACAGACCAGTACACACCAGCACTTGCATCAGTCCTGGCGTCACCTAGCACATAACCTGCCCCTCTCCCTTCTATTTCGGACTCAAATCGGGGCTGTACTCCGAAATAACTGTTACAAGGACATTGCACTGTTGCTCTGTACATGTTTTTGCAGCAATAACAACCGTGATATCTGTCAAAAGCTATTTATACATAGCTCCACATGTTGCTGGACAGTGGTTCTCTGCCAAATAAATAGAATATGATATGACACATACTTGTTGGACTATGGAGGTCTATATTGTGGGTATGATGCAGTTCTAAAGAATCTAATTATCTCCCTTCATTATACTGATAGACTTAACTATATACTGTAATTAATTTTTCTGTATTGTATATTCTATTACAATTTTTAAACTGCAAATGAATGAAGAAGGTATATATATCCATCTATGCATTCATCTTTGGAGAGCATGAATAGTTAAGTGCAAGAGAAATATCACATTATATTGGTTTATAGGGCTTTTATAACACTGTTTTCTGATCTGTTATAATGTTTCCTCATCTAAAACATACCTGGAGTGGTATTTTCCCACATGTTTAAAACACAAGCCCTGCATATTTAGTTCTTCTCTCAAATGGAAAAAAGCCCTGGAATTTACAATCTCATCCCAAGGTGGAATGTGGACAGAATAATAAAGGATTACTCAAACATGTGCGAATGAAACAAAACACAACTCCAAGTATGTTCATGAGATAACAACATTCTAACATGCCTAAAAGCTCACAAGAGTCAATATTGCATAATATATCACCTTTAATTATGTACTGTACACTGATACATCTTATACTGTGTCAAATACTAGTATAAGTACATAAGAAAATAAGATTGCTTTTACAATAGGATATAGTAATGCTCATAATTAAGCGGTTTAATTCATTATATTTTCCAGAGTGCATTTTCTCTCTTCTTTCCTCCACTAACCTTATCTTACCCTCACTTCAAAAGCACATCCATTGATCTGAGCCAGTGTTATATGGCATAATTACACTGATGAATACTTACATGTACATGGGCTGTAGCTGCAGATGGGAAGTCTTCTGGGGCCCCTGGTAACCGTACGAATCGAACCCTCCTATAAAATCAACTGCACAAAAACACAAAGACAAAACAACATTCATTAGACTGTGCTGTGATACAATGGCAATTTCTACAACACTGTTCACATGCACACCAAAAATCTGATTTCTGGAGTTATCAGATAATTGAAATGTCATGTAAATGGTTACATCTGATGTGAGTAATCTGATTTCTTTCTGAATCTTGCAGGTTTTGACAAAGAGAAAATTATGCAAAATAGGGCAAACAAATGTGACAAAGACTAAATGAAAGCGCAAATGTTAACAACTGAAATAGTTATTCTAAAATTATTTCTATTTGTCTTCCAAATACATCAGTTACTCTAAAAATCCCTTGATTAACTGGCACTTATCACCAGATGTTTTGATGATCAGATTTCTCTTGAGCATGTAAACACACACCAAAACTCTGATCTAATTATTGGCTTATGAGATCATTCTAGTCATCTGATTTTACTGACCGTGTAGTAAATGCACCCATTGTTAGTACCCAATCTCTATTTCAATCAGTGAAGACATCTCTGCTGGTCTATTTTTAGCAGGGAGACATTTGCAGTGATATATTTAAGCCCCGAGAATACTGTTAACTGCAAAATTATCTAGGAGGCCCCTACACGTTTGCGCGCCGTGAGCTGCCAGCAGGTGGTTTGCCTTCCAGATTTTCAGACAGCCAACGTAGACTTTTGAAGCTGGGAAACCATTTCTTCCCCCTCACTTTGATGTCCTACCGTCTCATAAAAGGGTACTTCCTAGCCTTGATCAGTGGCATACTTTTCCCTATTTATTCAGCCAGATTTTGTAACATCAAGTACAATGTGGGAGCTGTCATCATCGCCGAGATAAAAAGCCAGTATACATTAAGGCGATGCTGGTAAACAAGAAAGAAATAGGCAAGATTGAGGGGGTATTACCATGGCGATGAGTTGTGGTGAAAATATAATTGGGCTCTTATGGATTCCTTAGATCTTAGGCTGGGGTAAAAGAAGGTGATATGGGCAAAAGTATGCAGGCTAATTAAAATATACACCTTAGTAAGCAAAGACTGTCCACTTGAATTACTACTAGGCAAGCTGGCAGTAAAAAGCACTGTATTGTGGGTAATTTGGAGAATTAATGCTGCCAGGCGGTTTGAATTCCTTTTAGTAAGAAGATATGCACACTACTGCAGTTTAGAAGAGACATATAGATCACAACAACAAATACAAGCAAATTATTATATACACTATACAGAAGACATCCATAAAGCAATAGTAAGAAGCATTTTTAATAACTACACTAAAGTAAGAGTTATGATCAGCCTTAGTAACTACAGAATTAATACCTTAACCTCAACTCCTAGTGTCTTAATGAAGTAGTTATAGTTAGTTTTGTGGAGGCTATATGTAAGGTATAGTTATTACGAAATACTTTAATAAGATATTTCATATTTGGTATTACAAAGGACCTCCTATGCAGTGTGCATTAAATTAATTAAGAGAATATGCAAGTCACTGTCAAAGACTTACTGCAGAGTGACAGCCAAAGCCTGCAGCCATATAAGGACATTCACCCATTGGGATTGTAGATAATGAACATTTGGCAAATACATGTACTATGTGTTCTTTCTTCATTGATGTATGTGAGGGAGCAGGCACGGATTAAATTATAAAGTTGATGATTAAACGCAACTAAACAGCAATCTGTATGTCCTCAATATAAACCCAGAGTTCCATTTAAAAACATAATTGCCTTCCATTGGCAGCAATCTAAAGTTATAAATCTTACAATACAAAAATTGTGAGTTCTTGAGTCTATTTCTCCTGCCAATAAGATGCATGTGATGTTCAAACAGTTGGATAGACTTGAAGTAAACTGACTTAATTTGTTACACAGTCTAATGTGCTCTGGAGTTCAGGCCAAAAAACCTTTCAGTGGAGACACTGCAGTAGTTTTTTAATGGTTAGGTCCACTGCAGATATCAAGTTACTACAATACTGTTTTCAAACTTTATTAAAGGCATTGTTAGAGCACTTTACCATAGTACTATGGTAAAGGTAAACTTAACATTTTAGGGCTTGGCATGGTGGCTGAGTGGAGTTTGACTGTTTCTCCCTGTGTTTGGGTGAGTTTTCTCTGGGCACTCTGGTTTCCCACATCAACCCCAAAACATGCACAATAGGTAAAAATCTTCCAGCTAAGGTAGTCTTGACCAAGCCTAATCAAATGCAGTCAACAAATTTCTCGATATGGGACAATAATGGCTCACCTGAATTTGAATTGAATTTATTTGTTTGGAGGATAAGCCCCTTGAGATGTGTCACCATCTCGTTTTCAAGGGGGTCCTCACCTAACCCTGAAAACCTTATGATTGATATCTGTCGCCCCCTTCTGGCAACAGTGATCTAGAATGTGTAATTTCCATTATGACACAAAAGATAGACAACTATTTTAGATGTTTTTAAAGGGCACATATTATGCTATCATCTGATCTAAATTATAATGTTTGTCATCAAAAACATTCCTTATGTTTTGTTTTGTGTCATTCACACATGTTTAATGCACAAATTCTTCTCTCAAACAGAAATCACTCTGTTCCACCTAGTGATGTTATCTGGTAATACAGGAAGTGCTCCACTGTGTTTTTAAACTCCATACACCTTCACTAGAATCATTTGGACGATTTCAGCCCTGGAATTGCCAAGCTTAGATAAAAGATAAGAAGATAAAAGGAGCTGTTAACTTGAAAGGTACAGCTTCAAGACATCACCAGATAGAACAGAGCATTAACTAATAATACAGGATTACTCAAACGTGTGTGAATGAAACAAAACACAACTCAGGTATGTTTTGAGAAGGGAACAGCATTCTAATGTGACGTAAAGCTCACAAGAGTGAATTTTGCATAATATAGGACCTTTAAAGAATTACTCACTTATACACGAATGAAACCAAACACTACTCAGATTATACTGCTGCTAAAGTGCAAACATCATTAGAAGTTGGTTAAAAGCTCAGAAAAGTCATACGGGCATAATGATGGAGCTTTAAACTTTGTGCAGAGTTCTTCGCTGTCACCTCTCAGTAAAGCTCACATATCTCTCCTCCTTTATCCTCTTAATGTATGCGCCTGAAATCTCCATTACAGAACTCACCGGGACAACACAGCCCATCTCTGTCTCTCTGTTTAACCAGCGCTGTGTTTTAGGATCATTCGCTTCATTACAGTTTTTCCCACCAGACAAAACCCAGCCATTGGCCACGCTTGATATACTTCCTCTCTTTGTGCGAATCCTTTTGTTAAGATTGTAGCCCGGTGTGAACGCTAAGAGTTTTCCTGCTGATTCATGCTGCAGTCAAATAGTCTGAGCGCAGCCCCCTCTCGACCCTTTGAACAAGAGAAAATGGAGCCCCCCAAACCGTGCCTCCACTGAGAACAGATGCATTAAAGAAGAGAAACGTGCTGTTCAGGAATGGTCTGGGAGGAATGTTCTTCTCCAGTGGGAAGAACTAATGACAACTCGGAAAATGACAATGGACCAAAATGCACAATCTGGAGGTTTGGGAGCTTGGCTTTGTGTTTTTGAATTACGCTTGGTTCATTAAAATATTCTCATGCATTTCCAATTTCACTATTCATTAGCATATTTAATGTCTAAAATGTAACAAAAATTACACTTTCCATGTTTATATTCTGCCCAATAGGTTTGTGAGATGAAAAAAGCAATTATCATTCAAATTATACCTTTCCAAACTACTGGGCTAGTATTATTATTATTACAGCATTGCTTTACTCTTTGGTCAGTTCAATCTATAAAAGCATGCATGAAAGCACAATAAAAACACCAGGATCATGTAATGCAGGTTGATACAAACACTTTAAGACAAAAATGACAATGCTCATAGCAGCATTGTTTTATTCCAATAATTTCAAATGTTTTTTTACACAAATTTTAAGTTTCCTATCACAGTTAATATGCTAGTAATGTATGGGGGAAAATCGTTTTAATGAGAGGATAGCTGGCCTTCACTTACTGAGGATTGAGCTGACGATGCACTGAAATCTTCCCATGAATATGAAGCTACATGTACACTGCACAACATGGTACAAGTTCAAAAGTGATGTGGATCCAATACTAGCTTAGCCTAAAGCATAAAAACTAATGATGGTTGAAACTTACATAGTATTTCATGTTTACCCTGGCAAGCCTTAAAACCATCCCAATACCAGTAATGGCATATTTCCTAAACTGTAAAAGTATTCCCAAAAACTAAAAATCTGTTTTGTAAAAAAATCAACAGGAGTGATGGTACAAATACTTTGAAAATGTACAGAACACTGAATACCTGCATTAAAATGTATTTTGTAATATATACTGTTACATAGCCCAATTGAGTACTGTATTATGAATACTTAAAATACGTATACAACAAGTTGCATTTAAATAATAGTGCTGCAACATAGGATTAAAAAATTTTTTTTTTTTGTTTCAGTGCATTTCGTCTCACTCAGTGGAGAAACACACATGCACTCACCTAAAACAAGAGCAGTGTTTTCTCACTGATTCTATGCAGTCTGAAGCCTAAATTACATGATCACATACCATAATGTATTGGTTTGATTTTAATAACTGTATCCTGAATACCACCAAATAAAAAAGTAACTAAAATTTAGTATTCAGATTACGTATTCTCGGTACAGGTATTCAATTATTTCCCAACACTGATCAAGAGTAAAACTAACATTTGTTATCAAAATGAACTGACAACAACAATATCCAAATATGTAATCCCAGATCATATTTAGTGTCTATACCACCACAGATATTTCACACTCCTAATACCGTGCCTTTATATTGTGTTGCATCTACCTCCCGCTCAGCTCTGTGTGTGTTTGTTCCCCGATTATGCACCTGTGTATTTGATAGGGACTTGTCTGCAGCCCTGAGACAGACACAGCAGTGAAAATGATGATTAATCTCCCCCTCTCTGCCACTCCACACCGCTCTCCTGCACAAGCACACACACGCAC